CTCCCTGGCACATCGATCGTGTGGCAGCCTTCTGTCACGTAATGGATGTATGCTTCATGCAAGCGATGGAGTGTCGAAACATGACTACACAGGCAGGCGAGCATGCAGCACACCCGTGACCCCACGGCCACACACATGAACCAAACAAGAAGGTGATGAATGAAAAAGGCAGATATACACACATCAACGCCTACGCAGCATTTGTATACAGACAGCGTCACATCGAAGACAATACATCCGAAGCGGAAGGAACGGGCCATCGATGCACTCGCTCCTCCGCCTGCCGACTATCCTAATGCACTCACTGGCTACTCTCTCCGCTCCCCTCCGCCCCTCCACAGACAGCTCTCATGTCGATTGTGAGAGCACTATGTCGGCCACCGCACTCAGCCACTGCCAGCCATCCGGCACCTGAACACACACAGATACAACCAGGAGGGCAACGGAATCCAAACACTCATCTGCACCCCTCCGCCCCCTGGCCCTTTCTGACCTGCAGTGTGTAGATCTCCAAATCGACACATGTGAAGAGGTGGCTGGCAGCTAAGGTGGCCCGCCGTCCATCACCGATGAAGGTCCCCACGTATGTCTTGTCGTCGGGCAGCTCATCCCTCTCTACCCACTGGAGGCAGCGGCGGAGGTCGCCAGCCGGCCCACCCTTGCCAATCCCCAGCCACAGGCGCCCGCAACCAATGGCCACCTTGCCGCCCCCGCCCTTGTTGCCCACCACCGCCCCGTCTACGCCGGCGACCTCCACCCACTGCTCGTGCGGCACGGTGATCTTGGTGATGCCCGGCTCCTCAAATGGACCACTGATGGAGTAGAAGGTCATGGGGCAGCGTGTTCTCTCCACTGCAGTGGGGTCGGCTGGCTACTTGAGCTGTCCCTCGATGTGGCAGGCGAAGGTGTTGCTGCCGGTGTCCTTGGCCACCAGCAGCATGTCGGCCGCCTCGCCCACCTTGGCCACCATGGTCTCGTGGGCCCAGCCGTCACGCTCGCCCCTGACACAGCCGGACAGACAGGAGAGAGATACGATGATAGCATCACAGCCGGCGGCTCGTCATCTTTGGGTGACCCACTTGTAGAGCAGCTGTGCGGCCATGCCTATGTCGCGGGTGGTGTCGATGAGGGCCTGCAGGTCATCGGCGGGGAGGATGGGGTCGGCCGGGAGAGTGCTCCACACCTAAACAGACACACACACACACACGTGGACATGATGACGTCCGTCCACTCGATGTGTCGGCCTGACCTGGTAGACTTCCAGTCGCTGGGCGGTGAAGGAGTGACTGTCGGCCAAAGTGGCCCGTCCGTCCTCGTCGATGCTGCCCACGTACGTCTTGTCGTCGGGCAGCTCATCCTTTTTTACCAACTGTCGGCAGCTGCGGAGGTCGCGCCGCCCATCCTCCCCATAGCCCAGCCACAGGCGGCCCCCACCGATGACCACCTTGCCAGCCCCGCCCTTGTCGCCCACAACCGCCCCCTCTGTGCCGGCGACCGTTACCCGCTGTCTGTCGTGCGGCAGGGTGATCTTGGCGATACCCTGCTGCTCGAATGGCCCACTGATGGAGTAGAAGGTCACGGGGCTGCCGGTGAGCAGCGTCGATGTGGGGTCAGCCGGGGGGATGAGGGGGCCGTCGGTGTGGCAGGCGATGGTGTGCTGCTTCTCGTCCTCGATGACGAACAGCAGGCCGCTCACACACCCGCCACTCGCTCTACCAGAGTGCCAAACTCTCCACCGTCAGACGAACTCCTGACACACAAAGGCATCCAAATCAACACATGGCATCTCCCTCCCACGCCCCTCTGTTGTGTGTTGTGATTCACTTGAAGAGGCATTTGATGTGGCTGTGCGATTTGCCGATCATCGAGAGGTACACCGGCTCCATGAGGCCGTACATGTCACAGGCATACAGCAGCTCGTCAGGCCAACTGCTCGTCGGCAGCGGCGTGGCGGCGTCGGGGGCCAACCAAATGCGACGAACGTAATCCACCACCCTGCACACACCACACACATGGAGATTTCGTGTGCCGCCTGGCTGCTGTGGTGTGTAACTTGTGGAAGGTGTCTGCCGACACATCCGCGACGGGCCCATACCTGCACGCACACACACACACACACACACACACACAGTCCCCAAGATGACCACCAGGCCATCTCATCTCCGCCTGTAGACCTACTTGATGAATCGGTCGTGCAGTATGCTGTAGTCGGCCAGTGTCGCGTCGGTCGTGGCCACCACACCGCCATCCGCCACACGCACACTCAGCACCTCACTGCCGCCCGTCCCGCCCGCCACCGATGAGCTGATGAAGGGCCCCATGACGGCCATGAAGCCACGGAACGCCTCGCTGTCGTGGTCACCGTGTTGCGGCTCGATGGTGACGGCCGTCTTGGCGAAGAATCGGTCGTGGTAGAAGGCCAGTGCGGGGCAGCCCTCGATGATCCCACTCACGTCGATGCGGCTGCAGCTCAGGTGCCGAAGCTTCACAGCCAACCTGAACACACACGGCGAGTGCTGCTGCCTGTCAGCCATCGTGTTGCTTCCCTCCCTCCCCCTCACCAGATGAAGTAGAAGGGGTCGGCGTCAATGAAGTGAATGCGATTGTCGTCTGTGATCATCCAGCTGTCGAAGCGGTTCAGCAGCACCGCCAGGCAGGTGTCCCGCAGCCCCTCGCACAGCAGCACATCCCGAGGGAACGCCATGACGAAACCGCCGGCATTGAGCAGCATCGGCCGGCCGCTCATCTCCTCTGCCGGCCTGTCGAGGCTGATGTTGTCTGTCGTGCCTTGATGGTGGCCGACGGGCGCTTCACGGCGGATGTGATCACTGTGAGGTGCTTCGGTGGCGAGAGAGGAAGGGCGGCAACTTGGCAGGAAACACCAAGAACTCATCAGAAGATCCAACACAACATCTCAGCCGATGATGACGCCTCTCACAGGCAGGCTCCCGTCCGCAAAAGACGTCAGCAAGCTGCCGATTTTCACAACTCGCGGATCGACGAGAGAGAAGAAATGAGGCGAGGCGGACGCAGACACCCCGTGCAGCATCGAGGGGCGACTGAGGTCCCTCATTGTGCATTCTCCGCCTCACCTCGATGAGTTGACTGGTTAAGAATCCTCCCGTCTGTCCCTTCCTGAGGTAGGCCACGCAGAGAGAAGGCCGATTCGGCGCCGCACTCGTGTGTTGTGTTGTGTGTGTGTTTGCGCGTCAGGGAGGGACTGTGACCATTGATCTCAAGCGGCCTCAAGAGAAGGCCTTGATTGGAGTTCTCATCGCAGACAGATCAATCAGATCTGCAGCAATGGAGGACGATAGACAGGTGGGGCGCATCGCGGCACCGCTTGCAATGGATGGCGCATGACACCAGACGGATGTTGGCTGTGGGTGTTGGGTGATCTGTTCAGCTTAAGCGATCTCGTCATCACAGTGGCACCCCGCCGGCAGTGTCATCATCGCCTGCTGCTGCGGCTGCTGCTGCTGGCGAGAGTAGTGGTGCGAGTGAGATGGAGCGCGTCCTTTGGCAGCAAATCACTGACGAGGCAAGCCGATGCGCACATACAGAACATACGTCTTTCGACAGACAAATCGGAACCCTCCCTGTCTGTTTGTGCTGTGGGTGGTTGCAGCCTGGCCTTCCTGTCACCATTGTGGCCTTCCTGCCCCTCTACCTGTTGGTGCAGGTGTCCCAGCACATCTACCGGCAGGCGTCTCGCCAGCAGCACCACCTCACCATCAGCTGCGGCACCCGAGAGGAGCGGTCGGTTTGGCAGCGCATCCCCGTCCCTCTCGTCACCCAGCTGGGGGCGCTGCTCACCAGCCTCACGTCAATCACCCTCCGGCACCCCATGGCCACCGCTCGGTGGTGTTTGGACGTGCTGGTGGCCATGGTAGAGGGGCAGCAGGGCGGGACCCTGCAGACCATCACCATCGAAGGTGGGGTTCGGCTGACCGGCGCGGAGATGCAGACCGTCGCAAGGACTCATCCAGCCCTCCCCGCTCCTCTCGACCCGCCCCCCACCCTCCGCGCACTCACCACCCTCAAGGGCCTGACGGGCGACCATCAGGGGCTGATCGAGGGCCGCTGGCTGATGCCCTCCCTCGCCATAGTGCAGCAAGGGGGGGAGCGCCCCGACAGTCTGGGCCGACTCATTAGCTCGTCCCGCTTGCTGCGGCGTGTGGACGGCAGCTTTGACGGTGAGGAGTGGGCGGTTGTGTTTGAGCGCATCCCTGCGGCACCTGCTGGGCAGCAGGGAGGGACACTTGCACAGCTAGAGCGCACCGGCACCATCGTGGTGCAAGGTGACAATTCGGCGGGCGTCGACCGGCTTCAGGTGACAACAAAGAAGGCACATGGGCAGCAGGCGTGTGTGGGGTGAGTCATGATCTGTGTCCCTTCTTGGTTGCCTGCAGGAAGTGCTCGTGTGGCGTGGCTGCCGAGGGGTGCTGAAGCAGCTGCACGTGCGCTTCCGTGGCGGATACCGCATCGGCCGCCCCACGCTGCCCGTGCTGCTGTCCCTGAGCCGACTGGTCGGCAGGTGCTGCCAGCCAGGCGCCCAACTCATACTCACCACCACCGGCCCTTCCGAGTTCGACCTCTCTGCTTTGTACGCCGACGACCTCCCCACCCACCCCTCATCCCCATTCAAGAGCATGCTCCAGCAGCTGGCACAGCAGGTCTCGTGTGTCAAGTACGTCTTCACGCAGCAGAGCCTCACCGACCCGCACGCCAGCCCCAGCCAAGCGGCCGTCGACATGGCATCCAGCCTCTCATTCGACAAGGCCAATAAGGTGGTCGTCGAGAACGCGCCTGACTTCAACCCCCCGGCCAACGCCCCATCGCCGCACCCCACCATCGTCACCCACTTGCAGCCCTTGCACGCCGTAGCGCTGCATGTCCGCAGCAAGCTGGGTGGCTGTGCGGCCCGGCTGTTTGGCGCCAAGATGCCCAAGAAGGTGCGGTGGGTGGACATCGACATTCGGTTGGGCAGACAGGAGCAGGTGGGCGTGTTGACGGCGCTGGGGAGGGAGAGGGAGGTGGGGACGGTGGGGGACGTCGACATCGACCAGCTCCAGCTGGTGGGGGCGGCCAACAGTTTGCCGACCATCAAGGAACTATATGCCACCACGAGACGTAGGCAAGCCGGGAGGGAGGAAAGGGCACTGTGTCCTTCCATCCATTCTCAGTCCTGCCTGCCTGCCTGCCTGGCTGCCTTGTGTGTGTGCCCTCCTCTTCAGTGCCCGATGGTGTGCAGGATGCGGGCAGCTTCGTCCGCACCGTCCTCTCATCGCTGATCTCCCACGTCAGGGGCCTGCGGTCTGTGGGCCTGACGGTTCTCAAGACCACAAGCGCGCAGCATGCTGCCATCAGGACCTCCCTCGTCGGCACCGACATCGACGGCTTCAGCATCACTCACGTCCGCTATGACCGCTTGATGCGGTCAACGACCATGACTGCTGTGCGCAACGCGTGAAGGTGTGCGAGGGAATGGCACTCACAGTGGATAAGAAGGTGGTCTGATTGGTGACCGTCTTCGTGTTCGCCCGCTCGGGGTGTGTGTGTGTGTGTGTGGTGTGTGTGTGTGTATGTCAGGCTGGTGATGTGTTGGCAGATCTGTTGGCGGATCTTTCTAAGCCAACGATATCCACATGCTGCATAGCAGAGCATAGCGTAGCATGGCTGCGTGGGACGCGTGTGTGTGTGTATGTGTTTGTTGGTGACTGACTCAGCGGCTGCACAGACTGACGGGCGGGGCCTGCCTGATGAATGAAGTTTGGCAGAGAGGGAATTCATGAGCACGTCATGAGTGTGGATCAACGTGCCATGCCGACAGAGGTTTCTCGACGGATTGGAAACACTTTGTCAGGCACTGAATAAACACCAACACTCAGTCAGGCAGGCAGGCAGAGGCGTCTCCTCCGGACACCATCAAGAATGTCGTCAGCTAAGAAATGTCCCACAGCCCCTCCCCTCTGCTATGAAAGATCCACCACACACAATACTCGACCTGACAGACACCACCAACACACACACACACACACACAGAGCGAGAGAGAGAGCAAACGCGAACACGGTCACATGTGATCATACAAACTTCGTGTGAATGAGTGCCATTCCCTCACACACCTTCAGGCGTTGCGAATTGCAGTCATGATCGTGCAGTACTCCCCCCTAAAGTGCTGGTGGTGTCTGATTGTGAAGCCCCCGATGTTGGCGCCGTCAGGGATGGAGGCCTCAATGGAATCATACTGCTCAGCTGTCGTGTCGACCGTCAGAGTCACGCACTGCAGTCCCCTGACGTGGGTGATTTGATCGATCGCCAATGAAAGGCCGGTGCGGACGGCGCCGCCGGCATCCTGCACACCAGCAGGCACTGAGAGAGGGAACATACACAAAGGCAGAGATGAGAGCGGGGGGAAGGACACAGTGCCCTCTTCTCTCGGCGTACGTGTCAAATCGAAGTCAAGTGCCCTGATCGTCGGCAATCCATCGGCCGCCCCCACCAGCTGCTCGACACCGACCTCCCCCATCCACACCGTATTCACCTCTCTCTCACTTCCCAGCGCCGTCAACACACCCACCTTTTCCTCACCCGACAGCGTGTTGATGTTCACCTTCACCATCTTCTTGGGCATCTTGTCGGCCAGCAGCCGGGCGGCTGCACCACCCAGCTTGCTCTGGACATGCAGGACTGAGGCTTCGGGAACGGATTGAGATGGCTGATGATGGCGAGGTGCGGCGATGGGGTGTTGGCCGGGGGATGGAAGCCAGGGGCATTCATGGCGAACACAACGGCAGCCTCGTCGAATGAGAGGCTCTTGGCCATCTCGACGGCCGATTCGCTGGGGTTGGTGTGCGGGTCGGTGAGGCCCTGCTGAGTGAAGGTGTAGTGCACCGATGTGGCCTGCCGTGCCAGCTGCTGAATCATGGTCTGGAGTGAGGGTGAGGGGCGGATGGGGAAGTCGGGGTGGCAGAAGATGGAGAGGTCGAACTCGAGATGGCCGCGGATGTGGATGGTGTTTTCATCAAAGATGAGCGGGGCGTCCGGCAGGCAGCACGCGCCGACCAGTCGGTCCAGGGCCAGCAGCACGGGCAAGTTGTGGCGGCTGATGCTGTAGAGGTCACTAAAGCGCACGTCCAGCCGCTTGAGTGACCGTCGACAGCCACGCGCAACGAGCACTCCCTGAAAGCGACAGAAACAAACACATACAGGAAGGACATCATGAGCAAACCCATACACCCAACCTTTTTTGTGTCGCGTTGTGGTCACCTGAAGCCGCTCGACGCCCGCCGGAGAGTCATTGAAGAGAAGGATGGTACCGATTTCCTCAAGCTGGGCGAGTGGCCCCCCCTGCTGCCCAGCCGGTGCCGCAGCGATGCGCTCGAACACACTCGCCCACTCCTCACCGTCAAGTGTACCGTCCACACGCCGCAGCGAGCGGGACGAGCTAATGAGTCGGCCCAGCCTGTCAGCGTCCCATCCCCCCTGCCGCACGGTGGCGAGTGAGGGCATCAGCCAGCCCCGGTCGGCCAACTGCCGATGGTCGTGTGTCAGGCCGGCGATAGTGCTGAGTGCGTCGAGGGTCGGGGGCGGGTTGAGAGGAGCGGGGAGGGCTGGATGAGTCCTTGCGACGGTCTGCATCTCCGCGCCGGTCAGCTGAACCGCACCTTCGATGGTGATGGTCTGCAGGGTCCCGCCCTGCTGCCCCTCTACCATGGCCACCAGCACGTCCAAACACCACCGAGCGGTGGCCATGGGGTGCCGGAGGGTGATTGACGTGAGGCTGGTGAGCAGCGCCCCCAGCTGGGTGACGAGAGGGACGGGGATGCGCTGCCACACCGACCGCTCCTCGCGGGTGCCGCAGCTGATGGTGAGGTGGTGCTGCTGGCGGGAGGCCTGCTGGTAGATGTGCTGGGACACCTGCACCATCAGGTTGATGGGCAGGAAGGCCATCATGAAGCTGAGAAGGCCCTCCTGAAACACAAAGGATATCCATCAGTGTGCGCATGCCCTCAGTGCCGTCGGTGGCTGGCTCACTGTGTCGCTGATCTTCTTGCACAAGCATCGTTCCCGGTCGTCCCGTCGCTGCCGCTCCTCGTCACTCTCAACACCACCACCACCAGCAGCCGCAGACGAAGATGCAGACGCAGACGCAGACGAAGCCGGCGCGTCCTCACTGTGATGACGAGATCGCTTAACCTGCACCGATACACCCAAACACCCACAGCCAACATCCGTCTGGTGTCATGCGCCATCCATTGCAAGCGGTGCCGCGATGCGCCCCACCTGTCTATCGTCCTCCATTGCTGCAGATCTGATTGATCTGACTGCGATGAGAACTCCAATCAAGGCCTTCTCTTGAGGCCGCTACTTGAGATGAATGCTCACAGTCCCTCGCTGACGCGCAAACAGACACACACCAAACATGAGAGCGGCGCCGAATTGGCCTTCTCTCTGCGTGGCTACCTCAGGAGGATTCTTAACCGCAGCCTCGAGGCTGCGCGGAGTGTCCAGGCCGCCCAGTTGCGCCAGATCTCTCCTCTGCACCTCCTGACTGTTGTGATTGCTTCTGGTGGCGCACCTCTTCGGATAATAAGAGGAGGACATTAGAACCTGCAGCTGGCCACATGGCGCAGTTGGTTAGCGCGTAAGTCTCATAATCCGGAGGCAGCTTAAGGTCGTGAGTTCGAGCCTCACTGTGGCCATTATGACCCTTGTTTTTGTACCTGACGGACGAAAGCGGCGCATGTGCAGATCTGCGAGGAGCTCTATCAGGTGAAGCAAATGCACGACCGAAGAAGAAAGCCGGTCCACCCATTCGCCGATGTGCGCTTGTTGGTGTGTGTGTTCTTCCGCAGCCTCCTGTCAGATTTGGTCTTGCTTTCGCCTCTCGCCGGCCGCCGCATTCCGCTCGTCATCAGGTCGTGCATCAGCTCGTCATACCGTTGCTGTGCGTCGGCTGCTTGTGCGCGGCAGCTCGTTGTCAATGGCTACGGGGTCTACACGCTGCCGAAGCACTACACCATCCCTCAAGATGACTGCCCCATCTGCTGCGAACCGTTCGCTGGCAAGACGAACCTCGTGCGCCTGAAATGCAATCACTATGCCTGCTTTGAGGTGAGGAAATGCGCGACTGAGCCATCCCTGGCTGCCTCCCTGCATGGCTGCATAGCTGGTTGCATTGCAGTGCCTGAAGGACGCCGCAAAGCAGGAGATGCGCGGCACCATGCGGTCTTCGCCACCTGACGGGAACTTTCCGTGTCCTGTCTGCCGCCAAGTAATGAGTGAGTGGACGGCCAGGCTAACTGGTTTTGGTGTGCATCTGTCTGTGTGTGTGCAGAAGTGCGATCTGTTTGAGCGGATTCAGAAGCCCACAGCAGCCTCGGCCACACTCAGCCCGGAGCCTCTGGGAAGCCCGCTCCGCAGTGTGAGCGTCGAGGAGGTGGACGGCACTGTCGCCACCGGGCTCGCTAGCTACTACACCACGCCAGCATTCGTCGGCTTCGGATCCTGTATTGACAACCTCGACACCCTCGAAGAGCTGCAGGGGCATCAGACCATCTTCCAGTTTACGCTTTTCGCGGCTCGCCAGGAGCTGGAAAAGGCCTGGAAGCGCGTGGCCACCGTCCACAAGACACCCGAGGCGATAGCAGAGGCATTCAAGTGGGACAGAGACGCGGAGGACGCGCGAGCGGTTCTGCGCCACGCCGACGACCGGATCACCGCTTCTCAGAAGTCCATCTCGCGCGTGACACGCCAACAGATCGGGTGGGTGGGATGACTCAGGAACAGGACAGTGTGGCAGTGAGTCAGTGAGTGAATGTCCTGTTGGTCTGTACGTGTGTGTCAGGTCTGGTGTGTCGTTTGGCGTCTAGAGTGACGTGTGGCTGTGTGGGTGTGGTCCCTCGGGACTTCCAATCGTCAGGCCCGGTCACGGGGGCAACAAGAGTGACGTCACACGGTGAGTGGGGGAGAGGGCGTCACATACGAGAGGAAAGGCGTCGTGTGTTCACCTGTCTGTCGGTCTGTCTGTCTGTCTCTGTTGTATGTGTGCAGCTATCGAGTGGCCTCGTCTGTCGGGGGCATTGAGCTCTCTCTGCGTGCCGAGAACCTCCGCCTTACTGCTAGCAGCTGATCAGCCAAATGGCTACACTTTTTCAGCTCTGAGCGACTGACTGACTGGCTGGTTTTTTTCTGCGTTGTTCTGGGCGGCTTTCAGTGTCGAGGGCGTCTGTGTGTGTGACACACTTACCCAGGGGGCTGACCTGTGTGTGTGTGTATCATGTGAGTGAGACGCAGGTATGATGGCGACCAATCGTGCCCTCCCCTGGTACTTGGCTGTCTCTCTGCGTGCTCTCGGTACCTATCCCTTCCTCGCGTCGTGCGTATGCGCGTGTGTCGAGGACG